ATGTAATCTGTTACACAAAAAAAAATTGCCATGCATATCATATGATAAATGATCTACGTATACTCTACCCTTAAGTACTACCAATTTTGAAATACTAACAAATACCATTTTGATAACAATTACTGACTTTATATATTAATATTTTTTTTATAAGAATGTAATGGTCCAATTTGGTAAAACTTCTTCATTTTTATTTTTTGATATCGAAACTACATAAAAAAATTGACAGAACCTGATCTAGTACAGTAAATAAATATCTAGCTCCTGCATCATATAGTATTTAAAAAAATGACTCATTATAAGTAGCAAATAATGGAAATTTGGTTACCTATAGTGGATTCGAATAAATTAATATCTAATCTTGGACGTATCAAGAATAATAAAGATGTGATTTTAAAAGGAAATATTTGCAAAAGAAGTGGTTATATACGAATTGATTTAAGTATTAATAGTATTCGTACATCAACTGGCGTCCATATCCTAGTTGCACAAGCCTTCATTTTTAATCCAGAAAATAAGCCTTACGTTAATCACATTAATGGCATCAAACATGATAATCGAGCTGTTAATTTAGAATAGGTAACTCCTAAGGAGAATGCAGAACGTAAAATATTTCCGAATATTGGTCGTGGTAGCTCTAGACATATCGTGCAGAAAACATTGGATGGGAATGTAGTTCAAATTTGGAATTCAATCTCTCTTGCGGGTAAAATGCTTAAAATCGCAGGAAATAGCATTTCAGAATGTTGTAATAGAAAGCGAAATACTGCTGGTGGTTGGCGTTGGATGTATTACGAAGATTATATTGAACCAGACCTCAATGAAGAATGGGAAGAAATAGAAGTTAATTCACAAAAATTTAAAGTTTCATCCTTAGGCAGAGTTCAGTTACTGAATGGTGTGATCACTCAAGGATCTTTGTATGCAGGCTATTACCGAATTGGCCGTATTCACAAATATCGTGTTCATCGTTTAGTGGCGCTAGCATTCTGCCCTAAAGAAGAGGGCAAAAAATTTGTGAACCACATTGACGGTGATTCCACCAACAACAAAGCGTCTAATCTTGAATGGTGTACACCAAGAGACAATATACAACATGCGGTGCGTCTCAGACCTCATGATGGTTGGATGCGTCAACGTGCTGTCAAACAGATTTTTGATAATGGATCTTTCCAAGAATTTCCATCTTTAACTGAAGCACAACGTATAACTGGGA